TAATACTGATCGGAGGGTTTGCCAGAGATTTGAATTGTTTTTATTCGGCAAATGTTTCGAAACAATTCAAAAAAGTTATTTTAATCAATGATTTGACGACAGAATATCAGTTGAGAAATGATTATCCGAAAGACATTGAATTGAAGACACGATTGGCTGATGAGGAATATGAGAGACAGTTATACAGAAGCATCCCTTTCCTGACACTCCTACACAACGGGGCCGCCAATACATTAATATTGGAATGTATTGCCAGAAACATCTCAATACTGGTGCCAAACATGAGTTCTTGTACTGAATATATTGGTGAAGACTATCCTCTCCTCTACTCCAGAGATCAAAAGGATTTCTCAAATCAATAGAGTCAATCCAATCAGCGATTGATTACTTGAAAACTATGGATAAAAATTGCTTTAAAACGGATTACTTCTTCAATTCCGTGAAGACTGGGATTGTTTTGCAGTCGTTATCAACAAAACAGTCAACAAATTATGAATTATCACTCCAAACGGTTCCAGACTTTTATGAATTTGATGTCTCGGTCTGTATTTGTTCCTTCAAACGGACCCATCATTTGCCACAAATACTGGACTCTCTATGGAGTGGACAGACATTTAAGGGAAGACTTGAGATAATTGTGTGGAATAACAACTTGAATTTGATGTCTCGGTCTGTATTTGTTCCTTCAAACGGACCCATCATTTGCCACAAATACTGGACTCTCTATGGAGTGGACAGACATTTAAGGGAAGGCTTGAGATAATTGTGTGGAATAACAACTACTGTCGGAAGAGTACTGTGTCTGACATTTGCCGCAAATATATGATTGAATCAAATGAACAAAAATCTCTTCAATTAATAAATTCTTCGAAAAACTATTTCTGTTCCGTAAGGCTAGCGATGCCTCAACTCATGCAAAGTCAGCGCCTTTTGATATGCGATGACGACTGCATACCTGGCCCTCAGTTCATAGACTTCTTCATGACTGCCCACACGAGACATCCCGAGGATGTGTTGTGTCTGAGAGGACACAAGTTTTTGGAGCACAAACTCGACGCTCAAAACCCAACAAATGTTTGGTTAGATTACGAGAACTTGAGGTTTGTTTCGGACGACAGACCCGAAGACCTGATTCACTTCGTTCACGCGGACACGTGTCTCATCCCGAGGAAAGCCCTTCAGGAATGCGCGTCAATACCAGTGCCCGACCCGTGCTTTGCTTTAGTGGACGACTATTGGATGAGTTATGTCTTAAACCATAAATTCAATCGAAAACTCAGGAAATTGTCGACAAA